GTGTGTATGTGTGTGTGTGAGTGTGTGTGCGTGTGTGTGTGTATGTGTGTGTGTATGTGTGTGTGTGTGTAATCAAAAGGGTTCAGTAAAATCCTCACAGGTTTTTTTTAAACATAAAAGGCACTGAGCCAAAATTAACAAATTCGGTAATAATTTCATAAAATAGGCGGGAAAATGCCAGTTTATTTAAATTCATTATTTTGACGAGCGTCTGATTTCACCGCCACGCAACTCATAGTAGCGTCGAAAATTCGTAGCGCAACATCCTCAAGTATCTCTTTAACGGGAGAATCAGTGTCACCCATACTTTGCACAGCAGTTTGTATCAATCTGTCGTAACTTAATCATATTTTTCCACAACAACTGAGGCAAAATTATAAAACTTTTTTTCATAAATTTGTATGAAATACTATAAATCTCCGCCACGCGAAAAATGGGATTGTTCATTGGACTTCCCACTTCTCACATACATTTTGCATACGCTCATGGCCAACGTCATAGCTCATCAATGACACTATTTAGTGGCAATTCTTGTTACAATATATTAAGTTTATAGAGAACACCTTTAGCACTAAAGGTCCTCACAACATGCGTCAATAAGCACAACGTTGCAATTAGAACAAATGACTGACTTTCGAAACGATATTGCCCCAGCTGTAGACCTTTTAAAATCTGTAGAAACTACCCACTGGTATTTTAAATTAAATTAGAATACATCAAACCGATGTTTACAAAAATATTGGTCTGTTTAAGACAAATTGAAACAAGTCATTGTGCAAAAGCTGGAATCTTCAAGTTCTACGGTTGAGGAAATATTTGACAATAAGTTGCGCCTTCAACTTTTGACCGCTCTATAATAGTTGACTTACTACTAGAGGTGGGCAAAATCCGCATAATCTACAAGGATAACCGGATAATTCTCAATGAAACATCCGGATTCAGACTCGTAACTCTCTTTCTTGACCCTGTTTGCCGAAGTGGGTGTACCCATTTGTTGAAATAGTGCTAACCCGTTTGTTGAGATGGCTGCTCTAAACATTTTGCCGAAGCGGTTCATATCATATTATTTGCCGAAGAGGTGCACTAATGTAGTATCCGGATTTGGCTAAAGCGACTCATTGCCCAGCCCTACTTACTACATGTCCCTAGACCTCCACAACGCCCTCCGATGGGCCAACATTGATGCGGCCTGGAGCTATGACGTGGACAGTCTCGGAACCATGGATAAACAGCCCGAGGAAAGGGCACCCTTCTTAACCAGCCTAGAGGTGAACCTTGAGCCAGTCTACAGCACTGATGACATCGAGTTTGAGTCCTGCTGCTCGAAATACACCTACATGTAGGTTTTATTACTTGTTTATATTAATTTGTTTGTGTGTTTGTTGATTTGTTTGTATGTTTGTATGTTTGTTTGTTTTGTTTGTTTGTTTGCTTTATTTGGGTTTTTGTTTTTGTTTTTTGTTTTGTTTTGTCTTCTCTTATTTTTTCAAATGTATTTATTTTTTAATTCATTTTATCAGAGGGGGCGGAGGGGGGAGGGGGAGGAGTATTTTGCTCACTTGTTTGATTTTGAGAGTCTTAAAATCATTTTCGTTTTCTTTGTCGTTTGGTTTTTGTCTTGATTTGGGGTTGTTGTTTTTCATTTCGTTCTGCTATTTGCGCACCCTTGGGTGTGTGTGTGTGTGTGTGTGT